TATCGGAAAGCATTAAGTACTTTATGTTCAAGAAATTTAGCCTCAAAAAAGTGCAAAAAAATGTTGGCAAAAGCCCCAGAAAAGGAATTACCTTGTGGAATTCCAATAATTTGTTTATAAAAATCTAAACCATTAATAAGAACATTCTCAAAAAGATTAAACTTACATAAATCCAACCAATTAGACTTATCAATTTTCTCATTGAATAAATACCTATCATAAATGCCGTCACGAATCTCAATAATTTTCCCATGTGGTATACTTGTATACAAATTTTCGAAATCAAAAGTATTAAGGCTAGAAATATTATTATTATTAATATAATCCAAAACTTCAACATTACTATTTATTAACCTTTATTTATTATATTAACCTTTTATTTCCTTCGTTTCCTTTATTGAAATTTTTTATTTAATTTTTTCTCCATTTTATATAGTTTCTTTTAATGTGTTACTTAAATTATATAGATTTTTATAGTTTTATCAATAGCCATTTTGAGATTTTTGTTGTAATCAGTGAAAAGAAAATTCGAAACAGTTCACATTCAAAGCTATGAAAAATGGTCTGATAAATAAAGTAGTGATAAAGTTTATTCCTACAATCAATGTAGCTAACTAAAAAATAAACTGTTAAAATTTTAATTTGCACCCTAAATAAAAGCAATACAAATCTTAATCTACCGCTTAAATGTGCTCAAAGCATATTTAGTTTTATATCAATATTAAAATAATAATATAAAATGGAAAAGATATTTATATTTAAAAAAAATCATTAATTTATAATCAAAGCTTTTTTGTTTAGAATACTACATATTTAATGAAGTTTCTTTTTATGAATACACCTTGCTAAACCTTAAATCTGGTTGTACTGCTGATTTGATGAAGATTCATAAATTTTTTTTATCAATTATCATGTTTAGATTCCTTGCTTAAGAAAATTTGTACGTAAACAGTAAAATCAAATCATGTTTGTTTTACCAAAGATGCCACTTTTCTGCAAAATTCTGCTTTTTATGCATGATTTCTATGACTAATCAACAATTCTAAAATTGCAAAGATTTGATATGTTGAACTGGTGAACCATTCATAAATTGTAAAAAAAGTTATTGAAGTATCTTATCTATTCTGCTCAATTTGTTGTTTCAGAATTTTTATTTTTAGGATTCTTAAATAATGTTATTAAAAGAAAGAAGAAAAATAATTTTGATTATTTAAATTGTTTTATATAGGAATATTTTATTAAAGTTAGTGATTTGGGAATCACACTTTTTTACTATATTTAAAATATGAAATTAATTAATGTTGGAGATTAGTTATTTCAAAGTTTTAGATTGATCTCTTTGTTCAGTTTATTTAAATCTGATTAACAGTTTAATAATTACAGACTTTTTAAAATGGTAAACTCTTGCCCAAGTTATTTAAAAAATTCTTAATAGTATTTGATATGAATGAAATACTTTAATTAAGCATATTAAGTTTAGATTAAACAATTTTAAATCTTCGTATTGGCTTTTAGTAAGAAATGATTCTGATTGAGAGTTCAATAGACGATAACATGACATTTTGAAGCAATTCACAGAATTGTCATATAAGTTAATGTGAAAATACTGAATATGTTTACAAAAAATATATTTATTTTTTATTTTATTTATATTCTTCACACTGTTTGGTGCCCAAGGCATCCTGTTTACCTTTCCATGTGTTCCCCTTAGTCTGTGTCTTGGGATCTAGTTTTCTCTAATCTTTAAGCTTTGCTCTCATTAAATCCACTTGCATTTGTCTTTTCTAAGTCATTCTTGGTCTTCCCATTTTTCTCTTACCATAAGGAGAGAAATGTGTGTCAATTTCTTGGCATTCTTCGTACATATTCTGACCAGTTCCACCTTTTGCTGATTTCTCCTTCATATAGTAGGGTTTACTCTTTCCAATATTGTTTCATTTTTTTTATTTTTGCAGGCTTAATAATTTTGGAGTTTTTTCCGAAACAGTTATTTTGAGAAACTTCAAGTTATTGGATATCTATTTTTCTAAGGCTCCATACAATAAAATTACTCTATTGTTTTCTAGATATTTATCTTTTTTTTTCTGTATTGAAATGCTTAAAGCAGACATTAAGGATTGCTGAAATCCAATAATTTCCAGCAGATATCTCTTAGTTTAATTGTTTTCGTAACATTCTTTATCTTTCTCTGAAAGAAATTTGTTTCAGAGAAAATGTTCAGTCTGTTGGTTTCATTTGATGTGATGAAGTGCTGAGCTGCTGAGAATTTTGATTCTGTTTAACATTTAATGTTTGTCCAAAAAGCATAGCTGCCAACTCCTATACATTTTGCTGAAGCTTTCCCCATTCTCGCATCTGGAATTAAATCTTCCTCATTTAAAAGAAATATGTGTGTGCATAGTAATAAAAGTAAGGGTTTTTCAAAAACCTTGAAAAAGTCAGTTGGGATAATTGCCGAAAGAATGATAGACAAACCATGATGAATTCGCTGTGATGGAATCAATCGTGGGAAACAAATCTATTAAAAAGTTAATTGTTATTCAACTATTCCTATACACTTATTGTCATACTTGTTACTGGTTTTTGTCGTAAGTAAGAAAAAATTTCTTTATAATGAATAAAATTCTATGTTCATATTTTTGTAAATCAATATCTGATTAGGAATAACTCTTAAAATATAAATTCTTGTTTGTTTGTTTTTAAAACATACAACTTTTGGTTACATGTTTTGTTTTCAAGCTTTTGTGCATCATGATTTCTGGTTATTCCTTCGTTTATCACTTGTGTTTTTGAGTTTGCTGAAATTTCTCTTTTGTTACATGTTTATGCTTCGTAAAGTTAATGTTTGGTGTCACTAGTATAAAAATGCCAGAGTAATCTAAATTTTATTCTTATTTTTGTTATGTGTTCTTATTTTTGCTATGGATAGGCATGTACAGAAATGCAAAATTTCTATTAACCAGGACTAATGTTTAGAAGCCAGCATGCCTGTTTTTGTTGTCAAATATGATTTAAAAAAAGTTCATTTTATATGTTTAGCGCTTGCATGTTTATTGATTTATTTTTTTAAAAGAAAATAATAGTTATTGCTTGGTATTATTCAGGGTCCAACAAATTATTCAGGGTGGCCATCCACCTGGAATTATCAGGGAATTTTTTTATACTGGAAAAATCAGGGAAATTTGGATAGAAACCTTAAAAAATCAGGGATTTTTAAAGAAAAGCTGGAATTTTTTCTTTGCTTTTTCTTAATTATACTAATTTAAATTATTTACTAATTTTCTTAATTGAAATTATTTTACCAGCTGTTATACCCACTTTTAGACAAAAATTTATTGCCAAATGATTGAAATACCATCAACTTAGCAATACTTCGCTTGCATCAAAATTTGATTCATTATAACCCTGTTAAACTCCCATATTTTCTTAAAGAATAGAAAACCTTTCCAGATCACCTCATTCCCATAAGGTGACGTGGCTTGCACTCTATCCCATGAGTCAAAGATGATAAAATAATATTAAATAAATAATATTTAAATAAAATACTTTATAATATTGACACTTTTTTTGTACCCATCCTAAATTTTATAAGGGAAAAAAAGCACATTGACCTTTAAATTTTAGGATTTTTACCTGGAAAATCAGGGAAATTTGAAACCTGATTTGAGTGGCCACCCTGTTGTTGTTAAATATTTGATTTCGCAAAAAGCAAAACTAGTTTAATTTATTTACTTTGTATTTTTTTTTTAAATGCTACTATGAAAGAAGCTTTAATTATAATTCAAATTTTACTCTATGGTATTTGAATCATTTAAAAAGACTTTTTTTTTTTTAAAAAAAAAATCTCCTATTTAATATTCTGTAAAATTAAATTGCATGTAATAATGAGTTAAGTACATTCAAGCATTTTCAAGATTTAAAAATGGCTATACTATTGATCCTATTGACTTATATGAAATTTTTATCCATTTATAACTTGAAAAAAATATATAAAAGTATTTCAAAATAATTAACTTGATTCCTTTAAGTGCATATTTATATTATATAGTTCTTATCCTTTTTGTAGCTATTTGCATAGATTTGCCTTCAATAAATCATGGTCGATTATTGTTAGAAGATTTTACCGATTCAACTTTTACACTTGGTGAATCTATACAATATGAATGTGATATTGGATTTGAACCTGTCAGAAGCAATTCGATGATCACTTGTGTTGAAGAAAATGGAGTTGCTAATTGGACTGTAACTCAAAATTTATGCAAGGGTAAGTTTAAATTTTTCTAAATACATCTGAATAGTTCTTATAAAAAAAATAAGATGAGAATCTGAAAGGAAATTTTGATTATTTTACAAAAATTGCTATTTGTATAGTTGTAATAGGAATCAAGAGATATTTAACTACGGGACGTTTAGTTAACAAGGAAAAAACTAAATATGACCAATCAAGACTTGTGGAAAATTATTAGTAATTTAGAGTTAAGTAAGCTCTATAAAAAAAATTAAAAGAATGAACGAAAATAAAAAGAATAAGATTGCTCGAACATCTGGAGCGAATAAGTGATAAAAAGTGCAACCGGAGCCTGATTAAGGCAAGGGCATACGGGGCAGTTGCCCTGGGTCTCACATCAGAGGTGGGGGGTCCAAATCAAATAGAAAGTTTATTTTATGTTTAATGAACTTTTTTAAAACAAAATATCAGTGCAGTGTAAAATCCATTTTATGATAGCTTCTTCATTAATCTATCGTATCAGCACGAAAAATCTATATTTCTAGGGCAGAATTTAGCTAAATTTTCACACTTACGATGGACAAATATAGCCAAACAAAAGCCTGTATTTTTACATATCACAAAATGCAATATGTTTACAAAAGCACGGGCTTCTGATTGTCTTAATTGAGCCATCGTAATTGCAAAACTTTTGCTGAATTCTGCCCTAATGTCAGCAAGGATATGAATTTTTTGCAGCTTGATGACAAAGTTAACAATCAATTAACCCATTCTTGACTGTTCTGTACGTCTTTAATCCAATTAATTTAAAGAAAATAACAAACTTTGGCACTTCAGATGTGCTATATCCTCTTAATGATGGACATAGAATTGTTAGAAAACCAATAAAATGGGCAGAACGATATTTCGTCTGACCATTGAAGGGAGGGGGGTACTTAATAGTTATTTTAGGTTCGAGTCAATTTTCTCATATATCTGTAATGAGGTGAAAAATTTAAATACTTCCATAACGTTCAGTTCCTCATTGCTGGAGTAGTGAAGCAGGGGGGGGGGCCCAGAGAAGTTTTTGTCCTGGGCTAAGTCGGGCCCTGGGTACAACAAGAAAAATTTATAACAGATAAAGAAAAGTCACACATCTCAGAAAAAGATGGCTAGATAAGGTAGAAGGAGATTTAAAAAAGATGAAAATCAAAAATTGAAAGACAAAGATCAATGATAGGAAAAAATGGAACTATTGGTAAAAGAGTTGGAAGTCCTTCATGGACTGTCTAGCTGAGGAGTAGGTAGTAATTGAAATCTAGATAATTTTTTTATTTTTTATTGCTCCTTATTATGTTTTCTATTAAACTTGAAAACAAATAATTTTAAGTCATAAAAGATCTTAATTTTTTTTTTATTTTGAGGAAGAAATATTACTTTTAACTTGTATTTTTCTTTGCAATATTAAAAAATGTATATAAATTTTTTTTCTTTTAATGAAATATCTGAAAACTTATATTATTTTAGGTATGTTATATAATTCAAGTTTACACTGTTATCTACTTCAATTTTGATTACACTACATTTTTTCATTATTGTTTAAACTTCAGAGAGTCTCACATGTTGAAAAGTGTTTGCCAACTTGTCCCATACTTTTTTGCAAAGAAAACAGGTTTATCTAATATTATTATATAGAAAAACATGTTTAGAGAAGAAACATTCTCGAAAATTTTACCAGTACTAATAGGTTAATGAATTGTCATAGATTTTGATATATATTTTTTTTTTTCTAAATTTAGCTAAATTGTTTATATTGCTAATTTTATATCATATATTGTTAACTCAAATACTGAGGTGATGGTTTTTTGCTGTTAGTTTTAGTTGGAAATTTATCTTTTCCATAAAGACTATTGAATATTTCTTCTATATATTCTGCATGTACTTCGGCTGTTATGTTCTGTATTCTGTAAGTGTGTATTATGTTATTTTACTTGTATATATTATGTTATTTTACTTGTAGTAATTTGTGTTTAAAAAATTACATTATTTTCTTTCAGTTTCTCTTATTAGCTGTAATGATCCTGGTTATATCGAAAATTCTAATAGACTTGGACACTTATTTACATTTCCTAATAATATAACATATATTTGCAATGAAGGATATCGAATGTTAGGAACTAATGAAAAAACAATGACAAAGCTTTGTGGACCAAAAGGACAGTGGATTCCAAATAAACCTGTCACTTGTGAGGGTAAGCACAAATTATTTTTTTATTGAGATGTTTGATATTGTTAATAATGCTCTGAAGTGCATTTCATTAGTTTCATCTAAGTAGCTATTAACATCGCTATTTCGGATAACTGATTTTTCCGGTTTTCTGAATCGCTACAAAAAACAGTTTTTTTAGTGTTAAACCCAACTTAAAAAAAAATTTTGGAAATAATCTTAAAAATAAGAAAAAACGATGAGGTAAATACACTAATGATTATTTCTGAAATGATGGTAAGGTAAACAAACATCTTTCAAAAAAGAAAGAAAAATCTTATTTTTAAATTGCGGGAAAATGTATCGAATTTCGTTCCGGTTTTTTGGTTTTCCGGTTTTTTGGTTTTCCGGTTTTCTGATTTCCGGATAACGAGTTATGTACTGTATAACAAAATTTAACTGAGGTGCTGAGCAATTAGCCTTCATAAAAGATGAAGATCCTTTTGGAACACATAACCTGAAATAAAATTTTAAGAGAAAGGGGATTCTTCTGAAAAGTTATTTTTGTTAATTAAACTGCATTAATAAATATGCTCTATCAATTTCTAAAGCTTTATAACTATACAAAGATTTTCTTGTGCACTTTTTCTCTTTTACCAAATTCATAATGTGCTAATGATGACTTCCCGCAATACTTTGGCTATTTCCTTTTTCTCATTGAGTATAGTTTACCATTTTCAGTATAATAAAGGTGAATGCGTTAAGTTTGCCCAGGTGATGCCTGGAAGTGGGCAAGGTACCAAATATAGTTACCATATTTGGTGACTCATGAAATAGTTATTATAGTAACCACAATAATAATGATTACGGCATATCCATTGGCTACATTTTAAAGTTACTTATTTTATTTGACCTTGCAAGAATTTTCTTTTTTTGGTGGATACTACGAACATCATTTTTCTATCTGAAGACAAAAAAAAGATGCTCATATCAATATTGCAAATTATAGAAATTCTAGCTGTAATAATTTAGTACCTTTAGCTGTAGATTCAATAACTGTAGTCTTTTGTAGTGTTAAGAACTAGCTCCTAATTAAATGAAGAATCATTGAGAAGTAAAAAAAATATTTATTGTTTTTTTTATTATTATTATTCTTTTCTTTTTTTCTCTTTCAAAGCAGCATGAAAAAAGATACATTTCGAAGTGTAATGCCATGAAGCATGATATCACAAGGATCAACTATATTAAAAAGCATTTTGATCAAGAAATATGTCAATTTAGGCTTAGAGAAATTAATACTTCAAACATAAATAACATAACATAATCATAAACCTTGCATAACATAAATAACCTAAATGTTTCACAACGTAAAAAAAATAAATTATTCATAAGTAAAAAATAAATATTTTTGCTTGAACCAAAAATTTTTGTCTTTTAAAACAAAAATGGATAAAGGGGCTCATAAATTATTATGCATTATTAACATTCTGAAGCAAAATATTTCACTGTTTAAAATCTTATTTTCTTTTGAAGATAAGTACATTCTGTTTTGTGCTCTAACTACAGTTTGATTTTAAAAAATCAAACTATTAACTTTGTGAAAAGAAGAAAAAAAACAGCCTAATTTTTTTTTTCTTTTCAAATTTCAATTGTATTTTTATTTATTTTTTATTCAAAGTTTACTGGGCATTTTTGTGTTCTCTTTTTGCTTTTATTAAGTATTGAATAATATAGAATCTTTGCGAAATTGCTTTAAGTTATAATTTTAAATATCTGAAAATATATCTGAAAACATTCTTTCTTGTATCTGAAAAGTTTTTTTTTATATAAGAAATTGTGATCTTCAATAATTGGTTAATTAAAAAACTATTTATACCTATCCTAGAAATTTGAAATTTCAGTTTTAATCATTCTTTGACCTCTTTTAATTTTAGATAAATTTTATTATTATAGATAAGAAGATAAAAAATAAAATTTCTACCTGAGTAATAAAGTTAAAACAAGAGTTTTGGTTTTAAATTACTATGTTTGCTTACTATTTACTAAATGATATTAAATTTAAAATGAAAAATTATTTAAAATTCTTTCTTATATTTACTTATTAATTCATAGTAAAAATAAAATGTTTACTTCGTGTGTTTTTCAAAGTGTTTAAGTAAGGGGATAATAATTGCATTTCCCCATGCAATTATAATTTAAAATTGACACCAAATTTTGATTTTTAAAGTTTTTTCATAGCTGGTCATTAATTTGTACACTTTAATGTATGATCTAAATGTAACAATTATCAACATTATGTTAATTATGAGATAAATTTTTCCTAATTGTTTTAGGCAGAAGTTATTGTGTAAAAAAATCAACTAAATCTATAGTTTAGTGTATATTCAGTTATTTTTACTTTAGCTTTACATACATTTAACTTTTGTAGTTAGTTATTTCTAATTTTAAAATATATCATTGGGACAGCTTTTCCTCTTGCTATAAAAATTTATATTCATTTTTTTTATTAACCAATATTATTTATTGAATATGTGTAAATACTTATATTATTTTTTAGTGCAAAGCAAAATAAAGGAAAATAAATAAGTTTTTAATAAATTTTTAGTTAGTTATTGCAATACTATCCTAACATTATTAGATTAAAAATTACAAAAAAAGTAAGGAACTTAAAGCTTTTTAACATGTTAAAATAATTATTTAAAAAGAAATTTATAAATTCCCAGTTTTATAATCTTTTAAGGTATTGTTTTTATGAAATATTTTTTGCTTATACTGTGTTGATTTATCTTTGCAGTTTAATTTGCATTTTTATGGTTACAGCTATAGTTTGTCCTATATTGTCTGATTTGTTGAATGGAAAAGTTATTTCTACTCAGAGAAAGTTAAATTCTGTAGCAACTTATGAATGTGACAGGCACTATGTATTATCTGGAAGCAATAAGCGAATCTGCCAAGAAGATGGGACATGGACTGGAGATGCTCCTATATGCAAAGGTTTCTAAAATTTGCTTTTTTTTTTTTATGACACTAATCACTTATGTCGAAGTACCCGGCAAATTTGCATATTAATATTCAGTGATTACAAAGGAAATCGCTGATTATCACTATGCAATTTTTGGAAAATATGCATTTTCATGACCCAGGTCTTCCATATTTTGTATTCCCCATAGTTATTCTATCACCTATAGATGAAATTTGTAGTTGTAGTTCATTTTACGTCAAACTAGAACTGCACAATGGGCTATTGGGGAAACATCTATAGATGAAACAATGAATTTCAAAGTGAGAAAATTTTTTTATTTAGCTGTCAAGGCTTTTAATAAGAACTGATTATATGCTTGCATAAAGGAAAAGCAATGCCAAATTTCATATTTAGATTTGTTCTTATTTCTCCTTCTGCTATTAATAAGAAAGAAATTTGAATTTATTTATATGTTTATAAGTTTGATTATAATTTTGCTTTCGTAAATCTGTTATTGCTCAATTTTTTGCACTAGAGAATAACACGTCATAACTTATTTTTCACATCCACTTTAGGATTTATTGCGAGCAAAATCACTAACAATTATGATAGAATCTCATGATTCTGCACCACTTTTAGAAAAAAACATACCAACATGTTTCTTTTTTATATTAATTTTACATTAGTATTAAATGTGAATGTGTATTAAATGTGAATGTATCTTGAATGAGGTATTTGGTACAGTTGTTCGATGTTATATGAAAAATTATTTAATTGAAAAGATTTCATAATTTGTCGTAGAAAATTAAGTGAAAAAAACTCATTTTCAACAAGAAATATAATAAAATTTTATTGATGTATTGAAGATAATAATTTACATAACAGCTTCATAACATTTACTTTCAAGCATATAATGATGATAAATTTAATTTTTTAAATGTTTTTAGCAGGAAAAAAAACATGAGAGCTAAGATCCTTTTTGGCCAACCTCATAAAAAGTAATAATCAAAAGTTAGCGAAACAGAAAGATGCATTATTTAGCTATTTATCAAAGTAAAGCTAAACTGATAAAGTAGAGGTTAGGTGATTTTAAATTGTTTGGAGTTTATTTATGTTAAACTATGGCCTTCAACAATAATCAAAAGAATATAAATTTGTTAGAAATTAGAAAAAACTAACTGTATATTAATAAAATATTTCCTGCTAAATGTGATTACTGAGAAAAAAGTTCTGTATGAGTATTTTAGTATGAAAAGGATTGAAAGCATTAATATAAATTTAAGAATTAAATTATATTAAAAGCTAGGAAATGTGTAATACCAATTGATGATCTGACAGGAACTTAATACATATCTATTTTATACATTATTGATGGATTTTAATATTTTAAGATATATTTTCTTTGACTATATTTTCAACAGACTATATTTTCTTATCTTTCGCAGTTCACAAACGACAACCCAATTTTTGCTTATAGTGGAAATAATACCATCTGTTCAAATTTGTCAGTGGTGCTAATTATATAAAAGTAAAGCTCAATATTATTAATTTTAAGTTTTATACTTTAATTTTAATGTCAAGGATTTGATTCACACCTTGAAGTGCCTTTTAATTCCCCCAACTGTTATTTACATCCTGTTGATGTAGCTAACCAAACTGAGCTTCAGTAACTTGACAGAGCTTATGTTCCACTATGCAATGCTCTAAATGTGAAAAGATTTTGCTGTGCAATTTTATGACTGTACACTTTAAAGTGAAAAGTTAAAAAATTTACTTATAATAGGCATAATAAAGGTTCACCAAGTATTCTGTATTCCGTCTATTATACTGAATATTCAGTTAAGTTGAATATCAAGCTACTTGCAATGCTAAATATTTAAGTATTCGGCAGGTTGAATAATTTCCTTAGCTTTATTTATCAAATGATTATTTTAGATAAGAATAAACTATGATGTAATCTTATTTTTATAATAATCTATGCCCCAAACCTATATTTTTAGATTTTTTATCTTTTAATATCTAAATATGTTTAAGATGCTATAGTTTAAAAATTTTTTTATTTTTTCTGCCTAAAATATTTGGTGAATATTGCATTAAAATAATGAAAAGATATTAATGAAATGTTTTACTTCACTATTTGAAAAGGATTGGCAATTCAATATTTAATTTTCAAGTAAATATATGTAGAATACATTCTCAAATTATCAGATTTTGTATTATACTGCTTTTTTATTATACTGTATTTGTTTTCAGATTTTTTTTGTAGCTCGAAAACTATGGCTGTAAACATTTTGTTACTCATGAAACATCTTCATATTTATTTTTTATTCGGAAACCAATTACATTACTTTTATCTAGATACATCACATATTTTAAAAAAACTTTTTGACTACGAATAATATATAAAGTGTAGGGTGTGTCCATCTTGAAGGGATTTCAAAGAACTTTTTATGTACAAATTGCCATGTAAGTCCAGTAAAAAAAAATGTCTTCCCTCGAAAATTGACCATAAGGGCAAGTTTCTCTATATATTAACCCTAAGTTACTCGTGAACCCTGAAGTTAATATATTAACTTAAGGTTCATGTTACTCCCACAACATTACCCCAGACCCATTACGTTAGTCCTTTAAGTTAATATATAAAAGAACCCTATGTATTAACTTAAGATGACAGCAACGTTTATGCTCTATTAATTATTACAACTGAATAAAACTTCTTCTGAAAATTTATTTAACTTGAAAGTGATGTATTATTTTAATCCTTTTATAGAAATTACATGTTATGGTCCTGGTGCAATTCAGCATGTTCGTGTTTTACCTCAAAAATCTATCTATAAAGCAGGAGATCTTGTTATTTTCACGTGTAAATATGGCTCTCATCAAATAACATCTAAGTGCTTAGAAACTGGAGAATGGAGCACAAGACCTCCTGTGTGTCCTGGTGAGTATACTATATTCCAAAACTTTTAAGCATCTCATTGATGTACTTGTAGAACTTACATTATTGAACTAATAAAAACTAACATAATCCAGCATTAAAGCTAACTAAAATATCAAAAATCTAGACAAATTATCAAATTGCAAAACTTAAGGGTCCTTTTTTAAAAAAAAGAATTGTATAAATACAAAAATATTTGATTAGAAATATATATAAATAAATTTTAAAATAGCATATTAAGCACCTGTATTTTATCTTTGCAATCACAGTTTAATTGTAGTTGATTATATTTCCAACAATGTATGCTGCTTTTGACGAATATACCAGAATAGCAAAAGAGTATGCATTTTTCTTTCTCCTTTGATATGCCTCTAATTACTTTGCTCAAATTATGCATGTTACGAAACTGCTCAGAACTATATAAACTTATTATTAAAGGATCTTTTTCTGTACCTTAATAGATGCAGCAAAAGAATTTGACCCACTTTGTTATAAGATGTTTTTATCTCTTCTAACTTTTTTATTATAACGAATCAACTGAATAACTATGGTAAATTTAAAAACTAGTAGTGTTCAAACCATAACATACTATCATAAGTCAGATGCATAAACATGATTTGTATGTGTGAATGACAGAAGAAAATAAAACTACACATAGAGTTCCTTAAATAACTGGTTTCAAATTTAAATTTTTTACATTTATTAGTTCTTAGAGATTTACGAAAATGTTTTTATAAAAATTAAATTTATAATACATTTGCTATAATTTGTATATATTTGTAAAATTTTGCATAAAGTTTATATTTTTGCTATGATTATATGATATATACATTCAGCTCTTAATATTACACCTTACACTGCTTGGAAATACAGTCACTACATAAATTTATTAACAAAATTTGTGAAATAGAAATGTAAGTAACTAGATATGTTTCTTAGTTCCTCTTAAGGTGTTTTAATCAAGCTTAACTTGCTACTCCAAACTGCTTATGGTTCAAAAAGTAGCAGTTAGTATTGTAAAATGATGTTTCAAATTGAAAAAAAATGCTAATTCGTTGAATCGTTTAAAAACAAGGAAGAAAGAAAACCTAATTTTTAAAAAAGAAATAAACAAATCAGATAATTTTTTCCTTCCTCTAAAAAATATGAGTTTTCTCAGAAGCAATTTATCCATTTTCAGAATAGTTTTTTCAGAGAAAATCCTACTTTAATTTTTTTTAATAAATTTAGTTGTCAATTACTGTTCAAATATATAATGTTTCTGATGTAGATATAGACTTAAGTTTTAGGTAATTTTTCATGAAATTTATGTTTTCTTACTTGCACAGTATAATTCAAAATTTTGAACACAATGTATATATATAATTCTCAAATAATGAAATTTAATGCAACGTTGAAATTTAATGCAACTTTTTATTAATATATGCTCTTATTTCTTTAACTTCTATTACATTTTCCTTAAAATTTTTAATTTAAGTAATTTCTGAAAATGATAGAATAAATAAAACAAAATATTAAAAAAAATCGGTTTTTGTTTTCACAGGCTCTTCGAGGCTCTATAAAGAGAACAGATCTTGTTTTGCATTTTTAAAATCTATTAATTTTTTGCAATTCCAATTTATAGGTAAAATATAACAGATTTTATAAATGATGCACAAGTGCTAAATTTTTCTTCTTCTAAATATTAAAATTTTGCATACTATATGAATCGTCTAATAACAGGTTAATGATATTGGTTTATTAGAAATGAATTAATAATGTTTGAGAGTTTATTGATTTATCAGAAAAATTTCTTACCTTAGTAATTTTATTAGTATTACATTTTTTCATGAATCAAAAATTTATTTTTTTTAAAAATCTGCTGGATCCAACTCAGCCAACCTTGAATAAAAAACCTAGGGAGTCGTTAGTTAGCATCTTGTTATGATATTCCTGGTTTCCTGAAAAGAAATATTTTCCCTGATATTCCTGATTTTTAATATGTGTCCAAAGCATCCCATTCTCTAAGATTGCAAATGTGATTTTTTAGAAAATAGTTTTGAAAAATCGAAAAATTTGGACTTTTGATCTATCTTTTTATTTAAATTTTTAATCTTTGTAGAAATTGCAAAATTAAATTATTCCTATTTTCAGACTGTCTACTAATTAATTATATACATGGTTTAGACATGTATCCTGACCTTTAGGATTAATTGTTTAAACTAGAGATGGAATGTAGCTTCAGCCACCTCACCAAATCTTTGGCGTGGCCGTATAATGAACTTTGATTCGGCCTATAACAATTTATTTTTGAATAATGTTTTTACAATTATTATTATATAGAGTACTGTCTTAAAAATATTACAGAATTGTGCTTTATAATAAAACTTAATTGAAAATTATAATTTTTAAGCTTGTGGCTTGTGTTTTTAAGCTATTATTGAGCCCTTGCAACCAGAAACCATTGAATAATTAATAATACATTCTATTTTATTTGAAAGTTGGTAAGAAATAGTTATCTTACATTATATTGAGTTAATGTGGGAACAACCAAAGTTGTTTTAAAATAAAATCTCTTCTTATAATACCAAAAATATTCTTTAAACATTTCTAGCTTGGAGACTTGTGAAAACAATAGTGTCATTATTTTTTATTATTTGCTAGAGCAGATGTGCGAGTAATTGGCACTTTTAAGGAGTATTGGCACCTATTAAACCGATTTCAACCTGTTTGGCCAATTTCATAGTCATTGATCGATATTAATAACAGTAACCCATGATTATAAAACATGCAAAGGATTATTAAAAAAAGTAAATGAATAAAAAGCTGAATTTTGATATTTTTTTTTACGAACCAAAACATAAGAAGAGCACATTACTTGCATATCCGCCTTAGATCTAAATTCTGAATTTTTATTCTAGATAATTGAAGTCAAAATTTATTCTAAGTTACTGCTATATAATAAAATGCTTTCTAGGTTAATAATTGACAAACTATAAAATGTTTTTCTCTCTCTCTCTCTCTTTATATATATATATATATATATANTATATATATTCATTTCACATGATAGATTAATTAACCTCACTGCATTTGATAATACATTTGGAATATGTTGTGTGAAATTAAGAATTTTTTAAGACAATATGAAGGTAAATGATATTGTGTACATTTATTGTGTGTTCAATGTTAAAGCTCAATTGAATTCAAGGGTCATACATTTATTATTTAAGCAACTACTTTAACAAATTTTGTTGGGTGGACTTTTCTAGTTTCATAATTATTGATTAGTCTGTTTCATGTGATATTAATCAATTCCAGTCAACAATGCAGTAATCATTTCATAGAATTTTAAATTTTGACTTGAGTGCTGATCCACTAACATTCCTTGTGTAAAGAAATGTTGCTTTCCTATTCACTGTGTTTTTATTTCAATGTTATTGAAACATACATTAAAATTATTATTAATTTGGATAAGGAAGTCTTATTCTTAATCACTAAGTTAGATTACATTTTGGTATAGGGAAATCATAATTATTTTTTTTATGCAACAGTATTATAATTTTCTATACATTGATTTAAAACTATTATGAGTTGTTCAGTATAAATAAAATTATCCTGGAAATTGTTATAACTTTGTGTTCTAAAATTTGCTTTTATTACACTTAGATAAAGCAGATTATACTTTTTTTTTTTAGTTTGCTTTCTTAAAAAAAGTAGTCTGGTGCATGTATATTTATTGTTCCAAAAAATGTCCTGATTTTGTCCCTTATTGTTTTGAAAAAATTACCTTTTATTTTGTTTATTTTTTTGACCTCTTCTGGAGCTAATATCCATTTAATGATAAACCGAAATTTTATAAGCCAATAGTAATAATTTTTGGAGTTTCCTGTTTAGAATAATGAAAGCAAATCTGACTTTTCTTAGCCTTAGAAATATTAATTAAGTGAGCACTTAAACTTTTTCATCCTTAATTTCTTTGAAGTAAAGGAGAGTTTGTACCTTTGGATCTGGGCAATTTCTAAAAAAGCAGTAGCAATTTTTATAAAGTTTCTTGTCTTAGAAATATATGCTTCTGAGGCTTGGACAATGACGAAACAGGAGGAAAATTGTATCGCAACATTTGAGAGAAAGATTTTGCAGAGTATACTTGGTGGTGTAAATGAAAACAATAACTAGAGAAAAAGATTTAACTTTGATCTGTACAAGATTTATAAGCAACCTGATATTATTAAATACATAGAAATAAATAGAATGAATTGGATGGCCCACATGATTCGAATGAGTGATGACAATACAATAAAAAAGATACTGCTTTTTGGACCCACTGGAACAAGAAAGCCGGAGTTGAGATGGGCTGACTCTGTGGAGTCTGATTTTCTCTCAATTAATGAAAAGAATTGGAGATCAAAGGTGAATCACTAGTCGTCATGAAGAAATCTTCAGAAGAAGGCATTGGCTCACATTGAACTGTCTGGCCAACTAAGATGATGGTGTCTTGTAAATATTTTTTTATTATTTATTTATTGAATATGAAAAACTATTCGGATGAGTTTTATTTGGCTGAAGAAGAAAAGATTCTTAAATTTTTTGGGTATTAGAAAATCATGATAATTTAATTAATTAGATGGACTACAATTTTGATTTCATTTTAAACATATGGTGTGAAACATCAAAGTATTTTTTTCCTTGGGGCTTGTCTCGATGTAAATCATATGCTTAATTTTTATTTCTTTTTTGCTATTAGGGAATTAGTTCTAGTCTTTTGCAGTCTTTTAAATGCAGGAAATGTAAAGTTCTATAAACAGATTTAAGTTTATATGTGTTATTGCAGTTTTTTGATCATTTAGTTTAATTAAAATATTATGAATTTGGAAACAATGAATTTGTTCTATTTAATTAAAGTTTTACCCCTATATTTTTAAAAAAAGCAGCTAGTTTCTGTGTTTTTTAAAAAAATAAAACTCGTTAGTTAAAATAACTTTTAATAAAGTCTTTAATTAAGTTTTTAATTTGTTTAAAGCAGTATGAGAAATTCTACCCCCAAAAAAGTAATGTAATGTGAAATAGGTAACATGGCTTTTGGAGAATGTGATATTAATATCTATTACAATAAGTATATAGAATAGAATATCGATGCAATGTTATTCTCTTACATACTCCTGTTAGCTTCTTTTAGTGCAATTCTGCATTGACTTTTCTTTGTTTTTGAATTTGATTTAAACTGAGTGCTTATATTTTTTATGTAATTCATCTGCAATATGTTTTTTTTTTAAATTTATTGTCTTACAAAAATAAAATGTTGGTTTATTGTCATGAAATTGGTTCATGAATTAAACTCTTTCATATTGTATTTTCATTATAATTCATCAATTAAAAAATAATTTTTTGGGAATAACATCAATTTCTTTATGTGGATCAAATTGACTCCTAATAGTGTTTTTAGCAAATCCAAAAACTATCAGTTCTAGCGTTAATTTTCATTTTTACGTAAACACTCATTTTTATTTTAAAAATCGTGAATGATATCTGAATTCGCATTAGGGCTTTTTTAAATTAGCAGGATATTTTCTGATACCGAAATTCTATTAAAAATTAGCAAAGAAAAGTAATTCATTATATCACTGCTTAAAAAACATTCTTACAAACTTAACTGAAGATTCTTTTCAAAAAGAAAAAATTTAATCATCATGAAATTAAATTATGATTTTTATTATTGTGAGATTCAGGAAATGAAATAATTTTTTAACTTCATTATTGACTAGTTCCCATAAATCAACTATGATCAGTGAGTTAGATGATGAGAAAGGTAAATTTATGCTATTAACTGCAGAGACTAACCAACATGTTTTATACAAATATCTTTTGTTGACTATTACACTTATCTAAAGCTATTTCCCGATTGGTTTTTATCAGGTCCTTCCACAACTTTTACTTCATTATTGACCAGTTCTCGTGAATCAACTACAATCAGTGATATTGATGATGAACGTATGAAGGGTAAATGAATGCTGTTAACTTCAAAAACTAACCAACCTGTTGTTTCACTCAAATGTCTTTTGTTGGTTATTTTATTTATATTTTCCGAAAATTTCAGTTAACATTTCTTCTATTTCTTTTTTAAAAAAATTCTCGTACTTCCAGATTTCTACTAACTACTTTTATTTACACTTAACTTGTAGAATTTATTGTTTTTTTTTTATAGTTTTAATGATAGCTGTTTTCAGTGTCTTATCTTAATTTATTTTGCATAAGTCACCCAACCATGTTTAATGACCCTGGTAGGAATACCTTGTTGATTTGACCCAAATTAGTTATCATAAACAGCATTTGAGTTCAATTTGTTTTGCTGAATCCTTTCCTACAATATTAAAAAAAAAGTGAATGGGTTAACTTTCATTGTACTATAATCAAAGTTCTCTTTTTGCTGTGTAGTTGCTTGATAGCCCACTAGATTCTGAAAGATTACTTACAAAATATTAAAATTTTTAGTGTAATATTATTTTTAATTTTCAACAATGAACTACTAGTAATTTTTCAACTAGTGAATTCAAGAATATACCAATAAATAAATTTACTAATTATAAAATACTTATAACATAATTGCTACTCATTACTTTGTGTCTCATTGAAAGTAAACATTAGATATAGACTATTCCATTTTCTCATACAACTTTTATTTTACAAATTTAAGTATCTGTTCACTAAACTTTGAATTTATTGTAATTTCAAATAATGCACATCCATGATCAACCATGTGGTCTGTTTAAATAAAACTTTAAATGAAATGATAAGGTTGGCTGTCAGAGTATGACTAAACCTTTCATTTTCTTCCATCAACTTTCTCATACCTTTAATATGTATGTTCTTATATCCTATATTATAAGATGAAAAAAAAAATTTTTTTTTTTTTGAAAAATAAATATTTCAAAGAAGTAACCTAATTTAGTAGAACAATTGATACCAAAAAAAATTAGCGTAGTAAAGGTGAAACATTTATTACAATAAAAGTCTGCTGCTTTTCATGTAAAAATGACCTGCAACCTATTTTTATAAGCTACAGCGAATTGAGACATAAATGTTAATATAATTTTATTTCTTTTAACATATATTTTTCAATTGTTTTCAGGTCCTCCCAAAACAGATACTTCACTTCTGATAACTACATTAAAACCTGATATTGATGAAGTTCTTGAAAAGAAAGGTAAAATATTATTAACAAGATATAATTTTGTACTTTTGTAATGCATTCTTTAAGAGGTTGACTGCCTGATTTAACTTTTGTTTCTCCATGCAAATATTTTCTTAAAATATTTATTTGGAATATAAAGAAAGATAAAGATTTTTAAAGTTTTTTTTGTTAAAGACATTTTTTTTAAAAATTCACACTAAATAATAGTATTAATATTTCCGCATTTCTTTATAAAAAAGTTATGTTATCAAAGCTGGAAAATCCATTGTATTAAAAAATGCAACATTTTCTGTTTAATTTCTTGTTTTTTTTACTACTTGTTTTATCTGCGTTATTGTCATTATTTTATTTCAATAATGTATAATCATGCTCATCTTTGCTATAGATGTCAAGAGAAACTCAATAAATGAGTTAAAACTTTTATAATTGTTAAGTTGTAAGTTAAAGAAAATTTTTTTATTTAAGTGAGTTCTTAAGATTTCATTATGAAGATCTGTATTATATAACATTGTGATTCTTCCGCGGATTTCCGCTTTTTTTCTTCTGATTTTTCCATTTTTTCCTCTAATTTTACGCAGAAATTTTTTTTGCACTATTTAGAATATTTTATGAATTTAATTTTCCTCAGAGCAAAAGTATTGAAATCCTCATTCCTCCCTCTTAAGTTTATTAAAAAATGATTTCCTTGGGATAATACCAGGGTTTATTGATTTAAATCGGCTTGATTTAAATCAAATGATTTTTTTTTTAAAAATCATCGATTTAAATCAACTAATTTTTTTTAATGTATATATTGATTTTAAAAATTATAAAACAGTGTTTTAAATTATTGATACTTTTATTATTTTCTTTTCTTAGTTTTAAAATTTATTTTAAATAAATTGCTGCATTAATTAATTTTAGTTAATGAAGTTACTTTCTTTCTTGGTGTGTGTTAAATTACAACACATTTGAAATTACATTTTTAAAAATCTTTTGATTCTTGAGATTGAAAGTACAGATTAGAGTAAATATTTAATGCTGTTGTAATATAGACTTGATAGCTGTAGAAAGTAATTAATGAACATGAATTTTTTTCAAAAAATAATGCTAATAATGTTATTTAAAATTGTACCTTATGAATGAAAAAGCGTGGAATTAAAATCTTCATTATATTTTATTGGTGGAAAAAGTATATTTCTGAAGTTTGAGGTTATATTAGAAAGAAATTACCCTAATATGCCCCCCCCCAAAAAAACTGATGAATTTAGAAATTTTTTTCCTGATATAGTGTCATTCTTCCCTTAATAAGTCTATTTGAAGCAGTAGGGTTTATTAACTAGTATTTTTTCTTTTTCTTNCCCCCCCCCCCCCAAAAAAAAACTGATGAATTTAGAAATTTTTTTCCTGAGTGTCATTCTTCCCTTTCAAACTCATTCAAAGTTTATTTGAAGCAGTAGGATTATTAACTGGTATGTTTTTCTCATAATATGTTTACAGTATCTTTGACATTATCTGATTTTCTATAAAGAAATTTTGTGAAGAAAAAAATTCCAATGAGTACATAGATTTTTAAGATTTTTTTTTTTTAGCTAACTTATCTATTTTAATATAGAATTAAAAATTAATATTTTAATATAAAAATATATAGATTAAATATTTATTTATTTTTTGATGAATGACTGCATTTATAAACACAGTCTGTAACATTTATTTTGTCACTTTAAAAATCAAGAGAAAAAAAAGGAAAACACAATTTTAAATTAGAATATGGTTTGCTAATTGAAACTTTGTTGTAATAGTTAAAGTACAGGGGTCTGTCCAAGCCAAATTTACTACCGATTAGCGGTACCTTCACAAATTCAAATTAAGGAAAAACTGTAGAATAATTTCACAAAATACTTTTTTCTTAAAATTTTATTTTTGTGTTTTGTAAGAAACAAATCCATATTTTTACCATATTTGTGTTGATTTTTTAATATAATTTTTAATTTTCACAAATTATGTCTGAATTTTAACAAAACAGGTACCTCTCAGGAAAACCCAGACAGATCCCTGAAGTATTCTTTAAACTCTATATTTCATCTAGTCTTTAAATTTCAATCATGCATTTGTTTCAAAATGGTTGCTATGCATTCAAAGCTATGTATTACATTGAAAAATTACTTTAGTAAGTTAGAGCTTTTAAAATATTGTTATTATATAGTTTTAACATTAATTTAATTTTTATTAAAAATCTATAATTTTAATCATAAATTAAAGATTTTTTAATCATAAATTAAAGTTCTCACAGTGTATTTGAATAAAAATAAAAAAAATCTGAATTTTTTGATTTTTATAAAAAAAATGAAAAACTCCCGGATAATACTGGTTGACCTTTATAACAGAAATTGGATCTTCCACTTTTTTCACTTTTGTCTCTCGAATTTCATCCTTTTTATAAAAAACTCCGATTCTCTAAAACTTTCGGTTTTTTTATTATGAATATCCCCTTTTTTTTTTAAAAAAAAAATTCAGTCTTTGAAATAAAATAATTATATTTATTTACGATTTTCAAAGATAAACAGAAAATTCTAACTACGTCCTAGTTGCTAACCCTTTTGCATTTTTACTTGTTTTAGCTATTTTCTTCGCTTTTACGCACAGAAATAATTACGAGCAGAACAAAACAAACAAGCCTTTTAGAAATCACAAATCCAGACTCTGAAAATATCTCGATTCTTATTCACGCGATTTTAATATCAGTAATCGATTTTCGTGTTTACTTGATTTAATAGCTGCACATTGCTATTCTTATTTACGCTATTTAAATATTGTACATTATGATTCCTATTTACGAGATTTAAAAATCCAATATCACGTTTTGTATTTATGAATTTTCAAAATCGCGATTTTATTATTAAACATCGATTTTCGTATTTACCTGATTTAAAAGTTTAATGTTGCAATTCTTATTCAGGCGACTTAAATATTGTACATTGCGATTCTTATTTAGGAGATTTGAAAATCCAATATCGCAATTTGTATTTATGCTCTTTTAAAACCCTATGCAGCGAATCTTAAAATCCAATTCACGCAAGCTTAAACTCCAATGTCGTGATTAGTTTTTGCAGTTGTAATATCAAACATCGATTTTCGTATTTATACGTGCTTTAACAATTAGACATTGGATTTCGTATTCACGCAATTTTAAATTGATTTATATTTACATGATCTGAAAATTATGCATCGTGATTTGTATTTTCGCATTTTTTAAATTTGATATAGAGTCATATTCTTGATATAGAGTCATTCGTGATTTAAAAGCCTCATATCGGGAATCATATTCTCTCAATTTAAAATGATGCATGTGATTCATATCATATTCATACAATTTTAAAATCAATCATCAGGATTTATAATCACATGGTTTACAAGTTTAAAGATCTCACTCTTTTTGTCAAATTTTTGTGTGTGTATATATATATATANTTATTGTTTCTCTCATCCCTGATATAAGCAAATATAAACTAAGAACATAAATTATCACATGCTTGAAAAAACCTGCCACTAGGTGAAATGTCTTAAAATCTAATTATATAATATCAGGGTGGCCTACCACCTTGAAAACCTGGAAGTATCTTAGAATTTTTTTGTACTGAAAAAAACCTGGAAAAGTCAGGGAAATTTGAATAAAAACCTAGAAAAATCAGGCAATTTTAAAGAAAACTGGAAGTTTTTTTCTTTGATTTTTATTTTTATTTTAGTGATTTAAATTATTTTATCATTCGTTTACCACTTTTTTTAGACAGAAATTTATCACCAAACAGTTGAAATATCAACTTAGCAATACTTGCCTGCATCAAAATTTGATCCATTATAACCCTGTTAAACTAGAATGCCTCATTAAATTCTTTTTTGGTTACTAAATGAATGAATAAACCTTTGACCTTTTTGGAGACTATAAGACTATGCAATTTAGGAAAGGCAAAGATTGTAGAGGTGGAAGAAGGGTTTAGGATATTTACTTCTGTTCATAAAACTTTTTTTTTCTTTTAGTTTGTAGGCTGAATCCATTTATCATTCAATTTTGTTCTGATGAGTTGGATATTTTTTTTTCTTTTGATAAAATCATTATTGTTTTAGTAATTTTAACTTTATAAAATTCTCTAAAAATTAGTTGGTTTAAATTTAATAACAATAATTTTTCAATGCACTCTTTTTCTGAATGTATATGATCATATATAACTGATAATTTTTATTCTGAAATCCGAAAACATTTAAGTGTATAATGACTTTTGTGAGATAAAAGTTTTGTTACATTTTAATTATTGATTTCTTAAAAATAACTTTTTCTTTTGTTTTTAAAATATTTTGTACAGTTTGGCTAAGAATAGATTATAAATCTTATTTATAAATACCCATTCTGAAATATTCATTTTAATTCATGAATAGAGCTCTATTTCAGTAAAAGTCATAAGTTCATGAACACCTTTTATAGCCACATTAAATATAAAAATTTATTAATATATAATCGCCTAGAATTGTTTTCTTTGTGCTTAGAATTCATTGTCTAGAATCTCTTTAAGAAACTACATTAAAAGATACTTATCCAACGTATTTTTGATCACTCTGTATTTGCCATTTGGTACTCTTTCTACAAAAACTACTTAATGTAACTTATTAAAACTTTTTATTCAATAGAAACTACGTATTTTACAAGCTAAACATATTATTTTCTTAACTTTTTAAATATAAACCGAAACATTAAAAAATAAAAAACAAAATCTTACTAAGTTGTTAAAATAAGTTTAGTCTTAATTCTTTTTTCAAGATGAGATATTAAAAAAATAACATTTTAAATAAAATACTTCATAATATTGACATTTTTCTTTTACCCATCCTACACTTTATAAGGGAGGAAAAAACACTGACCTGGAAATTTTAAGATTTTCACCTGGAAAAATTAGGGAAATTTGAAACATGATTTGAGTGGCCACCCTATATGTATATATATGTGTGTGTGTAGTGCGACAGCCCATAGAGAGCCAAGGTCTACTGTGCCCATCTCAGTTTTCTTGACTTTGGGCTCTGGGGATGTTCTGGTTTGGTGGTCAGCCGAACGTGGAAACAATATATATATATATATAAAAAAAACGTGGGAATATCCCTGTTACAGTTTTGTTAAATTCTTACTGCATAGCATAAAAAAACTACACAATAATAACTAGTTTTTTTAACATTTGTTAACAGAAATGATAAAAGTAATCGTTTTCAATTCAAATGTTTTCTTTTTTAAGACATGGATTTACCATTGTATTCATAACCTTGCCAACCTTGATAATGATTGTTTTTTCTCAAGTCAACAAAATTTTTTTATCTTCTAAACAGTAGATTATGCTCAGCTGGAATTAGACTCTGAGTTATATGACTCTTCCATGATCCAAGAGAAATTCATGATGTTTCAAATTCAATCTGTGGAAACATAAAAATATGACTACAAAAAATAACTTTTTAGGGTCTAGTGCAGTGAACAACATTGTTGCAAATTTAGGGATGTTGCTTGTTTATGTCAAAACCTGGGAGAACCTTACAATATGCCTGGCAACTAATTTAACCAGTCTCGGCATATGCAATAATAGTATCAATGAAATTCCTTGAGAATTTCCAACCTAACTAATGCCTGCCTTTTGAATTGAAATGAAAATCTAAGGAAAGGAACTTCAATATTTTTTTATTTTCCATGGTATCAGATAAGGTTTTTTTTTTGTCAAGTATAGGATTTTTTTTATGATAAAACTTCACACCTTTTTTAGCGAATTTAGGAAAAAATATAAATTTTCTATTGTAATGAGGTTAAAATAATCTCTGACTTAATATATTCTTACTATAACGAGTGATGATTTTAACTATCATTTATATTTTAATTAGCCAAACATTTATTAGCTATTATAGCGATGAACGAAGCAGATTCTACTTTTATTAAAAATTAATTTACAAATATAAATCATTTTTGTAACTCAAGTATATTAAATAAAAGCTAAATTAAGATTCTAAATGTGGTATTAAATTATTGCAGTACAGTTTATTTACTTAATAGCAGCTCTACATCAGCTTTGCTTCAGATAAATTAAAACCTTAAAATTTTCTTGTCACAAATCTTTTTTTATTTTGTAGGCCATCCATGTGATGATCCTGGTACAATTAAAAATGGGCAAAGAAAATTTGTTGGAAATGGTATTAACGGAACTGTTACATATTTATGTGATGATGGCTATAGACTTATAGGCAAAGGAACATTACAATGCATGCCTAACGGCAAATGGGATTTGGATAAATTACCTATATGTAAGTTCTTTTAGGCCACTTTCTTGGTTATATGCCTTTTGTATTTGATCCTATTTAATGATAAATTTTTAAAAAAAACTGTGATAAATTTGGGTTGCATCCAGTCTAAAACTGCATTTTTTCTAATTATTTTAAAATTTTAGATCAAGTTAAACTAAGTTCTTGACAAAATAATAGTTTTGAAATTTAATTTCGAGTTTCAGAATTTCACACTTTGAGAAACACACAGAGTGGCTAATTTCTAGTGGTTACAGTTAAATTAAGCTTCTAAGTAGAAATTTATTGTTTTTCTTAGACGTTTAAATTTTCTAAATTAATGAGAGTTTAAAATTTTCTAAATTCACTATGTACCACTGCATACCATGGGCTCTGTATTTGTGTGATTTAAAATCACTCAGAGATCCATACTTGTGTAATTTAAAAATTACTACTCCTGGAGCCTCATTCATGTGATTAATAAAAAAAGCACAAAACACAGGTTAATATTTTTGGTATATGTTTAAAATGTCTTTTTTTTGTAACTTTTTTTTAAATATGTATTTCAAGTAATTTAATAGTGCATGGAATGATGTTGATACTTTTGTTTCTTTGAAATTAAATTAACATAACTCCTAGAATTAACCTTTTAAAAATGGCATATTTTGAATTTTATAAGATAAAAAAAATTTCAGCGTTGTATTTTTAATTATTAAATATATTTAAATCCCTGTTCAAATTTTTATGTTTGTTACTATTAGTTGCTGGGTTCTCTTTTTTTCAGTTTGCTCAGTACTCTTTTATTACTTTTGTTTAAATTAGGCTTATTAAAAAAAAAGTTTTTCTCTTTTAGATACCCTGTAATAAAATAAAACAAATGTCATTAGAAATTGTCTTCTAACTGCATGATTTGTCCATTTATTTATCCTAAAAGATTTCTCTGCTTCACCTGGAATGGATTAAGATCAGTGGATTAATGTATTTTTACCCCTGAATGGTTGCATAATTTTGAGGAAAACAATTGTAAAAGTGCCTATTTTTTAATTCATGAAAATTATATAAAGCTAAGTTAATGTACAATTTGTGAATTTATTTTTATTTTTCGGGGTTAATTTTTAGCTTTTAGTGTAAACATCTCGTTTAAAATAAACTATTTCTAAACACATTAAAAATAGTCTGGTATTTCCATCTGATATATAGATTGATAAGTAAACATGATCTCCAGCATAAGAAATAGATTGTTCTAATCCTCTTAGCATTTTACTTTTGAAGACTCCATGAGAGGCCCAAAAAGTAGAGGATGGCATTTCACCCTGTCATTTTGATGGGAGAAAATGGATATGGTTAAATGCTGATAATCCATGGAATAACAAAATCTCTTAAAATCAGGATATGATTTCATTTTTTAAAATCAGTAGTTTGTTGGAGCTTTTTTAAAAAAAAAAAAACTGTAGCAAAATCTGAGTTCATACTAAGATTTTTTAAAGCAGTATCACAATTCATTTTACAATGCAGAAAATGCTCAAATTCATAACTGTGTTATGTATTGCAAAGAAGAAGAAATTATGATGCTTTACTGAAAAGACTGGCTCCCTGTAAAACAATTATATAATTTTTTTCATTCTTGTATTCAGTAGACTATTCTAAAAAAGCTTATTTGCATTCCATTACCTTTATAGGTGTAGCACCATTATCAGTTCCTCATATCATAGGCATTGTTTTTGGAGTTTTATTGATTGGAGCACTTGGAATTCTCGGTTATTTGTGGTATCGATGGAGAGAAAAGAAAATTCGAGGTTATGGTGAGAAATGCAAAGCCTTAACAGCTGATGCTACAGATTTAGAAGAAATTACAGGCTTAGAAAAAAACAAAAAACCTATACCTGTAACTGTCTTGTAAATTTTCTACTTAACTTCATGAGCTTTTACCATCAAGCAATCTGCTTAAGAGCTTGAAAACAAACTAAGTACTTGAAAGACAGTTTCCTTCTGTAAACATGTACTTCCAAAACTGTCAGTGAGAGAAGTAAATTATTTCTGTAACTCATGTTGCATAGATAAAATCAGCTGAAAAGTAAAGAAAAGGAATTTTGAAGTTTTCTGAATGGACAAAGAGATAAACTCAGAAATCTTCAAAGACATATTAAGCACATTTCATTTTACTTTGTGATAACACAAAGCTAGTGCTCATTTTCTAATGTGTATGCTTTAATATTTATTGGGGATTGCATTTATTTTTCTCATATTTTTGTTTGGTGACATAATTTATAAAAATTTATTTATTATTTCAAAATAGTGAATTTATTTAAAGTTTTTTAGTAGATACAATTCTTACTTAAAATATTGTCTCATTGATTAAAGTTGTCTTTTTTTTTTTTTTTTTTTAAAGAAATTTCTGATTTTTTTCTTCCTTTAATTGTAATACTCTTCCATTTTAAACAACTAGTGTACTTAATCAAATTCTTATGTATCTCATTCATTACTTATGATCTATACCTATAACTTATAAATTTTAAACTACTGCTTTCAAACAAATGGGTGATAGCTTGTGATTATTTGTTTTTTCGACTTGTGTATTATTTTTTTAATTATTATTATTATTTTTTTGCCTTTTTTTCCTTTTTTTTAAAATAAATTTTAGTAAATAAAAGCATGCGTTCAAAGTTTTTTTTTAAGTAAAATTGAAAGTCACATCAAGTTATTAATCTTACTAGGATCTAGTTGATTTTTTTTTTTTTTTAAAGTTTTTTTTATAACTTTTGCTTTCTGTAAGTCGTCTTGTAAAAATATCTAACTTTAGTCTGGAAAGTGAATAATATGAACTTTACCAACGTAAAATTTCTTTTGTATTGATACGAAAAAATCTGGTTCATCTTTTGTTTTTATGTTATACCAATTTGTTATATGCTTATGTTTCTTACTGAGTATTATTAATTTTCCTTTTGGGAAATTACTTGCAATCCCCATTAATTGTATATACAATTATGGGACCATCTTTTTATATAGAAGTTTAGATTTTGATGCAACATAGTTAAATTATCGGTAGTTTTCCTAGTCATTGTAAGTTGAGAGAATTGAACTTATAGATTTCTTTTGCATTAAAAACTTTATTTAGCTTATAATTTGATAATTTCTGAAGTATATATTTCAACTTACTAATTATATAATTTTATTTGTGTAAATAACATATTTTATAATTTTCGTCTTGAATATTTTGAAATAGTAATATTCAAAATATTTGCTCTTTGTTTAAATTGTATGCATTTGAATACTTGAAATAGTTATGCATAATGTATTAATTTAAATTACTTGATTTACCTTTGTTGTGTAAAAGTTTTCTGTAGTTGTAATTGTTATGCATTTGTAAATAATTAATATATGATTTAATTTTTTGTCGGTCACAACAACAAAAATGGCATTTAGAATAATTTGAGGTTTTTCTATTAAAGTTTAACATCTATTTCATTATGTGAAGGCATAATGAAAAAGTTTTATATACTCGAAAAATGTGATAAATAATAAATGTTTCCCGTGAATAAATGTATCCCGTAAATTATAACTGTCCTGTGATTTTGATTACATACACTACCTATATAATCTTCGGTATTTCTAGGTTCTAGAGGCATTGTAAATTTTTTTTTCTGATTATCTAATAAATTTCTTTAACTTAGTATTCCATTTTAAGGTTTTACTTTGTTAAGCTTTGATATATAAAGGCAGAAACGTATAACTTGAAAGCACTAATTATATTTATGGAAGTAAAAAAATTATGACTGTTAAATTTACTTGTTCATCAGGGATTAGTGCCTTTAAGTGTTTCCCGTGGTTAATTAGGGATTAAATAAATTAGTGCAGAAAATTTTCAGTTAATACAACTGAAGTGTGGTTTCTATTATTCATTTTTTTTTAACTTTAATTTGTTTGCATTGTTTTGTGTATCAACAATGTATTTACTCCCGCACCTTAAAATGAGGGAGCTTATATACAATTGGACTAAAAACCTTAGAATCTCATATATGTGTTGTTTTCACAGAATATTTTTTCTATTTAAAAAAAATACTTCTGTTTCTTTTTATTGTTGCTGTTAATTGAATTTGTTTATTTTCTTATGCATTTAATTAATTTGTTTATATATGTGTGTGTGAATTTAAAAATTGCTGCAAAGGGGCTCAAGATATAAAAGCTTTAAGTCTATGTTACTATTTCTCTCTATAACAACTTATAAACACAACAATTTTAGGAATTTAGAAGGAAAAAAAAACATTTTTATTGCTGATCTTTAAAGTCATTAAAAAATACTTAGTTTAATATAAAACATTAATAAATTAGTGGTTTCAGAAAAAAAGTGTATTTTTTATGTTAAAAAATATTTATTTGAAAAACCAAGAAGTGGCTCTCCCTGCAACCTGGTCAGCCATAAATATAATACCTCAATAAATGTTAGGTATCATGACTTATGGCACCAGTTAAATATTAGGAATTTTTAGTGAGTGATGAATGCTGATTAAGATCATTTCTATCAATATTAAAAAGTATGGAATCTTAATTTGAGTTTTAAAATTTAGTTTTCCATGTCACAGCAATATTACCCATGTTATTTGAATTCTTCCTAGTGAATTTTTGTGCTTTATTTACAATAATTTTGCGTATATTTTTTATTTAAAACAGTATTTGTGATGATGTTTACTTTTTACCCATTACATATACTGATTTTACATTTAATTTTGTGAACATTTCACATGAAACTTATTACTGGAATGAAACAAAAGACGAACATTTTGGTTTTATTTATTCTTATAGTTTTAAATGCTCATTTTGATAAAGTTTTTATTTTTAGCATATATATATGTTTCATGCTCATTCTAAAAGCTTGTTAAGTTTACATTGCAGTTTCAAAATTTGGTATACATAAAATAGACTTCTCATTGCTGGCTTATATATTGCATCAAGATATATCTCTAATATCTATCTTTCACTGCCATCTAGTTTTTCAAGTGCCAAACTAAGCAGAATGTCTTGCCACTTTTTAAATTACATATGATAAATGTGTTAATAGTCTTATTTTTCTAGAAATACATTGTTCTTACTTTTTCTTTTTCTATACAATTTATTTTGAAGTATTCATCAAAGTCTCTGAATTATTGAGTTTTTAGTTATAGTTAGTATCTTTGTAATACAGCACAGTTAAATGCTGTATAAACTAATGTTAACAATAGCTTAAAAGTGTTCTGGAGTGAAACTTTTTTTTAGTAACTAATCGAATTTTGAAATATATATATATATATATATATATATTATAAATGTGCTTTTCTATCATACCAAAATTTAGCTATAAATGTTATTAAGATTTTAGTTTAAAAATTTAATGATATTAGATTTGTAAGTAAAATGAACTCAGTTCTTTTTTAACATACATTTAAAGCTTACAGTATTTCCTTTTATTTGAAATTATATTCCTAAGATACCTAAGTAAACTGGCTTTCCTTTCTTATAACCATTCCTTGATGTAATGTATTGATCTAATTTTTATGTCCTATTACCTTTCCTTGATTTTTTATTTATTCATTGATCAGACTCTCATAGCTTTATAAATAGGGCATGGATTTTACAAGTTAATTTTCAGATTGAGAAAAAAAGTTTCATTTGATGTAGAGGGAAATTTAAATTGTGAGTCGTAATAAAATAGTGACTTTTAGATATTCTAGAATGAAAATTATTTGAAGGATGTGTACATTTGTTAATGTTTTAGTGACTGTTACAACAATGAGCATACATATTTAACTGATATCTATCTTTGTGGTTAAATTTTGTTTAAAATGAGTACATATAGCTTCTTTTTTTTCTCATAAATGCATAAGCCAAAATAATCACAAAGATGCTTTTCGAAAGAAATTTAATGAAGATTTTAAAAATATATTCAAATTCAGTAAAGTGTATTTACAGTTATTATTTTTTTAAAATGAAAATAATGAAAAAAAATTCGTAATTAGTAATGCCAACATGATTTTATCACTAGTTTCTGCACTTCTTTGTTGAACTTCTTTGCGAATCATATATTTTAAATTTTTTGATAGATTAAATTTATTTATTGATTTGATATGTTTTATCATATTGCACCACAAAATTTACCTGTCATTTATAATTTTTACATTGTTTAAATCTTTAGAACTACATTGCTTAGAGATATAAGCACCTACTATTAATAAATGTCTGTCATTATTCTTCCATAAATGTGCCTTTCTAAGCTTAAGTTGAATAGTATAAATAGTGGGAATTTTGGGAAAACAAAAAAATTATGAACTGTTTATTAATTGTGTCATGAATATATTACATTAAGAAATATAATTTCTAAAAGCTAATTGTGTCAAATTACTATTCATAGACTTTTAATAAGAGGATAAAATTAAACACTTTAAAGATAGGCTGTGTGACAAAGAATATTTTAGTAGGTAAACTATATTTTTATGCTTAAATATGTCATTGAAAGTAAATTAACTAAGTTTTTCCCAATTGATCCTTTCATAAAATTGAGTTAGAAATATTTTCAGCCAAAAAAGAAAATTACACACAAATTATAGTTTAAGACTTTACTCTGTCAAAAAATGCATATACTTTTTGGAATAGATAAGCATCACACTGTCAAAAAAATTAAAAAAAATAAAATAAAGAAGAATTTTCTACTGATATTGGGTATTGGCTTTTAAAATATAACATTTGAACATTAAGTTAGATTGCAAAATGTGAAATATAATATTTAGCTAAACTAAAGAAGAAAAAAAGATAATGTGATTCTATTCTAGTTCTTTCCCCTCCATTATTTTAATGCACATTTGTGCACTGTTTTATCAATTTTGAAGCATTTACTTTATCTTATTTTTGTTATATGCCAATAAGAGAAGGTGACCTTGAGCTTGTGTGACTATTTCTGTTTGATAAAATGTCTGTTGTATGTTTTTTCATCAAAACTTCTTTTGAATTTCTACAACTTATACATTTCTTAATTTTGATAGATTGCAATTAGTAGTAATTAGAAATAAACCAACTTTGTATATAAGTAAGATTTAGCAGTTTCATTGCGAATATGAAATGTCTTACTCTCTGAAGTGGAATTTTTCATTGATTCTACTGGAGGTTTACAAATTTCTATCTAGTTATATAAATTTCTAACTCAAATTACTTTCTAAAAGAATTTTCTCCCATTAAT